AGAACAGGAAAATGCGAAGAGAGGGAAAAGAAAAAAGATTTCAGGATAATAATTAATCTGAGTCACTATGTATGTATTTATTTTGTCATTAAATAGTTGAAAATATCTTCGAACAACAAGCTGGCGTTCAATTTTATGCAGTGAATGCATATTCAGTAGTCTCTAACAGTAGGTAAATGTGAAAATGTGAGGTTATCCTACATAAGCACTGTCCTACTTTTGGGACTGTACCCATGTGTAGGACATAAAACAATATTCTAACATACATAGTAGGAGGGAAGGCATCACAGGGCAAACCTAGCCACTACATAAATCCAAAATGGAGTTTTCTTTTTTGTTACGTTCAAATTACTGTGAAAGTTGATAATGACATTCAATGTTTCCATACTAATGGACTCACAGAGGTATTTGTGGCCCATAGATTGGGTCCTCAGAGGCCATTGAGCCCATTTTCACATTGGTATTTGGAGTGGAAAGGTATCTAGCCCACACTGAAGGTGTCCGGCAAAGGAGAGACACAATAGCTATTACCAGTTTGCGGTGTGTGAAGAAAATCTCCTGGGAGAGCTCTTTCTTTTCTTCATATCATTTTGCAACCATCTCCATTTGCCCGTATAATGGAGCCTGCTTCTATAGCACAAATATTTGAAATCACGTTCTAAAGAGGAATCGTGATAGAAGGCTGAAAAAAATGCTTTCATTTTCTTTTATAACCTAAGGAGACCTCTTACAGATGATCACATTCAACATCTAAATATCTAGTGACTAAGAGAGTAATCACACTGGGGAGTGCTCAGATTTATAGAGGAGGACATGAATGCCAAAACCGAGATGTCTCGAAGTTATTTTTTCTAGGGTGTAAGAACATAGGCATCCCACGTGTCTTGAGAAATAAGAGTGAAAGTCACGACCTAGTCCTTCCTCCTCCTTTTAACAAATGTGACTAAAGCCAGATGTGTTCCAGGATGATGCTGACTAACTGTTACTGCTAACATGCACTAGCAGTTCCAAGACATGAGGGCAACTGATAAAGGGGATTTGCTTGGTTTTCCAGAATTAAGTTCTGTTCTGTTCTATCCACTTGCTCAATCTCTATTCTCTCATTCATGTGGAGTAATAGGATTGGCAATAAACACCACCAGGCAAATCTCAGAGGACTCTTGAGTTATTACAGTGATTTTCTAATCGTCTACTCTGTACTTTTATAAAATGATTATCAGAAACTGAGTTAGCAATTGGAAGGATTAGAAATAGCTTCTACGTACCTATTTCCTGCATGTGATGATTTCCCACACATTATCATAACAAAGCCCCTGTTCTTCTTTAAGTAGAATAAGTCATCAGAGAGGTAGATATTATAACACTGTAGAATTTCCAGTACTTGGAATGGGAATATACTTGGAATATAATTGGAATTTCCAATACTCAATGTCCTCAATTTGGATTTGCCTAAGAGGTTGAAATCTCAGGTTCAGGAATTAGGCTGCACTGAATCTTGGTTCTACCACTTGGTGGCTATGTGACCTTGGGAAAATTACTTGACCTCTTTGTGTTTCAGCCTCCTCATCTATAAAATGGAGTCGATAATAATAAGAAAAATACTCAGCTCATTGTTGGTATGATAAATGACAGCAATTATAATAATTTCATTTTTAGACTTTAGACTGCTGTAGCATTCAGTTTTTTCTAAGTTTATCTGCATCTAATGGATTCAAAGTATATTTTACTGACTATCAGATATTAAATGCCTGTGAATGTCTGTATGTTGCTAGGAGTGCTGGTGGGTGATAAGACTTTAATCTGAAAAAGGGAATGTACTTAGGTGACCATGTAAGCCAGATGATTTGCTGTCAATTTCTGAATGGGTCCCCTAGTTTGGTCTTACACACTGTTAAGGAGGATTTATATTGTAGGACGTCTTTCCTGATGTCTAATTGAAATTTTATAAAATGCCTCATGTTTTATTTCTCATTTATGGAGATGCTAAACAGCACTTTTTGTTTTATATTGGAACAATGAATACTTGACAGCAATTATTTTACCATTTGTCAGTACTTAAAAAATAATACAGTTTTTTAAAAAATTTCTTTTGTCTTAGGCTCCCCTATCCTACTTCTTTAAACCCATCCTCTCAGAGGTTGAACCCCGTGAGGGGAATCTGGACTCTGAGGGCACTGATTAAATCCAGAGCAGTAACAAGACTCAGGTACAGTCTGTCAGGGGCTAAGCTGGGGGCTATTTGTTTTTTATATATTGACTTATCTCAGGGAGGAAAGAAGCCCCATCTTCATTTACCAGATTTACAATGCACTGGGTATGGTATAGTGATGTATTTGATTTGATTAATACATAATCACAATCTTGAAACATCTTACTTTAATATTTGAGGCATATTTGATTTTGTCATTTCCAAATATTATTCATTCATTCACTCACTCAACAAGTATTCATTCCCTGCTATAAACATACAAGGAAGTATGCTAGACTTTTCCATATATGCCTTCTGGCCCTAACTGGATTATGAACCCCTTCAGAGCAGAGATATTCCACCTTACTCATATTTTATCCCAAGCCTTGGCCTGCAGAAGACATTCAACCAATACAACAAACATACATTACGTAAATGAAAAGTAGGATTCGGGTACTACGTTTGCTGTGCATAACCAAATAATAAAATATTTATTCCTATGTCTCGATCATCTTTAAAATTTAAGAACACGAATGTAAATATTGTCTCCATGAATAATATGTGTCGGCAGCATTATGTTAGACCTTTCATTTCTGTGAAATGTATAATCTAGATGCTTATATAAAAATAAGATGAGATCAACAACCTACATACATTTTTCAGGGAATCAAGAGTTTTTGGTGAAAATAATAGTTGAACATAGGATTTCTCTCAGACTCACATCCCCTTTCATGTAGCAAAAGGAAATGAACAAAGAAAGCTAAGCACACTGAAGTTTTTAGGGCCAAGCATTTTGATTCAATATGTTCCGCTATAAAATATTTGGCCTTGTTTGAATTTTTATTGCTATATGTTCTCAGTCTATATTTAACTGTGAGAAACACAAGTAAGAAAGAGTAAATGTGCAAACTGTTCTTTTCACGTGTATGGCAGAGAATTTGAGAAAACATATATTAAAGGAACACTTTGTGTTTTTAACTTTCAGCCCCTCTTCTGAGGCCTCCTTTGGCCAGATATGATTAAATGCTTACTGAGCTAAGGACTCAGCTTACTTGGAACGAGAATTCTTAAGCGTCTCTCAGAGCCATCTAAGATAAGCACCCTACTTCGCCATGCTCTCAAATAAAGTTTCTTTTATGCTGTTTTCCATAGGTGGAATAAGGTCTAATGAGAAAGTTTTATAACGGAGACATTCAATTCCCCAATTCCTTATTTGCTCAAATTAACTTTTTAAAAATTGGGGTGTTCACTCTGGCATCAGCTCAGCGCAGACTCTGTAATCAGCCAACAATGTGCGCCTCACAAAGCCTGCCATCCTGCACTGCCAGCCTCTCCCATCCACAACTTTTCCGTGGGCGAATACAATTTAGCTGGTGCCTCTCCATGAGCCCCTCACAGTTCCATCTGGCCAAATCAACAGGCTTTCTTCCATTCAGTCTTAACTTCTTGGCAGTTAGCAAGAAAACAGACTTGCCACAATGGGTAATCTTTAAGATGCTCAACATCCTAAAACGAAAGGAATGGGTACAGGTGGTGTAATCTGTGGCTCTCTAGAGAGTGGCTCATCTACAAAGTGGCTTTGGGCTCAGCAGTGTTTTATCGTTGTTCTCTTGGTTGAAACTGCAGTTCTGGAGCACTGTCAGTGGTGAGAACTCTTTGTCCTCAGAAGGCAAATGAGTGATGAAATACTCCATTTGCAAGGACAGTATAATTTGTGAAAACAGACTTATTATCAGCCTAACTCCACTGGTCAGATTGGAGCAAGTGTAACCAGGAAGGCAGAATGGTGGAGTGGTTAAGAGCATGGGCCCTGCAGTCAGACTGAGTTCAAAACCTGCTGCTATTCATTTATTACCTGTCTGACCTCAGTTAATCAAATTGCTCTGTACCTCAGTTTCCCCATAAGTAAAATGGAGATAATATCAGTACCAACCTGATAAGATCATTGTAAATGTTAATGAGCTATAGCTGACATGTTTAGCACAGGGCTTGGCTTGTATTCACTAATTGTTATTTTTAGGCAAAGTCAGTAGACCAAATTCTTTGGGCAGCAGAAACGGAGGGAAAGGATGAATAACAGCTAGGAAGGCATTCCTCAATTAATTCCTCACTCTTGAAGTGTTTCACAGCAGAATCACAAGCAAAAGTGTAAGGGGTAGGGCACCTGGGGGGCTCAATCAGTTAAGGGTACGACTTTGGCTCAGGTCATGATCTCAGGGTGTGTGGGTTCAAGCCCACGTCGGGCTCTGTGCTGACAGCTCAGAGTCTGGAGCCTGCTTCAGATTCTGTGTCTCCTTCTCTCTGCCCCTCCCCCACTCATGCTCTGTCTCTTTCTCTCTTGAAAATAAATAAACATTAAAAAAATGTTTTTTGAAAGTGTAAGGGGTGACCACGAGATGACAGGGTTGTGCATGCATTCACTCCTTTAGCGGCATCTCCTTTCTTTGAGGTTTTTGACAGAACACCTCTTTTTCTCTAACCCTCAGGGTCATCTGGACTGAAATGAATGCTTTCAGGACAAAATAGCCAGTAGTACTTTCTTGATGACTACACATAAGTTGTTGTTTCTCTTGCTCGTTTCTGGTTTATGTTTCTCTCCCTTTCAACATCGTCCCTTTCTCTCACTCCCACTCTGGGGAAATACCTCTCTCACCATGAGGCAGAGGCCACCAGGCATACCTCTGTGCATTATTACAACTTAGGACGTTCACGCAAGAAGAAGGCCAGTTAGAATGGCAGGGCTCATAGGTCCCTGTAAACCCCAGGGGCACAAGTGATTCTGAGCAGCAAGAGGAAGGGAGGGGTCTCTCACCGGTCGCTTTCTCGGGGTTGTTGCACATGAAGCATTGCCATGCTCCTGCTGCTTCGCTGAAGCCAAATACATCAAAGAACCTCACTTCTTCCAGATGGAGCTGTACCTGGTCCAGATCCTGTTCCAGGAACACAAAGCACAAAGCACATAAGCTGATCTGCCTGCTACGTAGCATTCAGAGACTGGAAAAAAAGGGATATGGGAGCAGGATGGCCAGTACTCAGACTCAGTGCTAAGGACAAGGAGGGAGCATTGAGAAAACCTCTCTGAGCCCATCTTGCAAAAGAGCAACTATCTCAAACCCTTCCAAGGGACTTCTCTTAAGTGCAGAGGACAGTGATCGTGGGCCCCAGAGCTAGGCCCCAGGGCTCGGGGGTGGGGCCTGAAGCGGTCCAACATTTTCTTACATCTAATGGCAACTCCCGAATTTCTAAAAAGAAGGGGTACGCAAGGGACAGCGTGGTTGATAGGAAAGTTGTAGGGGAGTTTGTCTGTTATTTACACTTTGCACAAAATTGAGGATCCATTATCCATATCAAAACATTATTTTTTTAGGTTGGCTTCGTAGGTGGCTGGTGGGAAATATGGGAGAGGGCTTAATCCCTCAGCCCTTTGCTCTGGCACTGTTTCGGTTTTATATTTTATCTTAACAGTATATGCAAATCCTGAATTATATTCCATGGTGCAGCTGTATTGGTTTTAATAGAAAAATAATGTCTTAAATTACTTATCAGTAAATTAATTAATTTTCCCCCTCCCAATAGCTGAGTTGAATGGACACACCAAGAAGACTGGAGCTGTTTTATGTGCCCTGTGGCATCGTGCCAGCGTGTTCCTGTTTAAGAGGCAGAGGAGAAAGGTTCTATTACACTGTAAATGGATGGAATACTATTAGCCTAACCAAATTAAATAGCTCTGCTGTCCTCCTGAGGCTTTCCTATTATGTAAATGCCTTGTGTCCTCTGCTACAGGGTGGTCAGAACTGCTCTCTTAAAAGCTTGCTTTCCTCAGAGGGATTTAATGTCTCTGCTAGCCTTCCACGTGCCTAGCTGACTTATGTGTTTGTCCTCTGCAGACTTGTGATTTTATTCCCCTTCCTCTGGTCCACACATTCTTATCTTCTCCCCATAGTAACAGCTCTTAGTAAGCCCAAGAGCCAAAGGATGGAGGCACTGTTTGTGCTGCTTACGATGGCTCAAAAATAAAGAATGGGCAAGTGGCTCCTCAGTTTCTACCCCAAAGCTCCTGTTTCCCAGCCCTATGTTTCTTAACAGAGGTGAGAAATATGCCAAACCCTAAGAACCCTGCGAGAATAAAGATCTACTTTGTTCACAGTTGTATCCCCAGAATCTAGTCCAACATCAGGAACGGATTAACATTGGTTTGCAAGCCCAGTGCAAAGTTTTCCAATGAACCATATGAAAGTATTATGAACATTTAAAGGGAATTCTTTTAAGAGAACATTTACACTCACTGGAACATAAACACAATGAAGGCAGGGATTTTCTCTGTTATATTGGCTGCTATGACCTCAGTGCTAAAACTGCCTATCCCATAAGCAAGCATGAAATAAATATTTGTGGAATTATGAAAGGCATAAACTGGGACTAGAAAGAAATACTTTTCAGCATTCTTTATTAAGACTATTATGGCTTGTGTTCTGGCATTGGACATCTTGGAGCCTCAACATGCTGAATATAGTATTTTGAGTTGCTAACATTTAATACCATTTTTTTTTTAAAGCATGTTCCCAAGATAAAGACTGAAGAAGCACCTGGGAGTTTTGCAGATTTCAAAGGATGAAATCTATATTTAAATTTATGGGGGAAAAGCAGATGTTCATAAATCTCAGTTTCAGAACTCTGAAGTCTCTGAAGTCTATTGGCCATTGGCATGCAGATCACTTCTCTATTTCACACACAACCAAGGATCAATTTTTCATTCACCACAAACACTGCTAACAAACAAAGTACTTAAAATAATACTTAAGGGTTCCTTTATTTTTCCTGTTCTGAGACCAGAAATGTCCCAGGTTGTTGCCTACAATCCACATTTGTCTTGGCAATAAGTTACTTAAAAAGTTTAGGACAGATGGCAAGCTACATCCCAGCGTTCAACTTCTCAAGTCAAAAGCAGGCTAATTCTTTAGAGGATTTAGGTGTTATGCAAAGGGAACTGACTGAAGAAGATAGAGGGTAATTCTCTGAACTGTTGAAATCAGCAATAACAGCCAACCTTGAAGAGAGACAGATGCAACATGCAGCTCCAAATATTGTTGGAAAATCAAAGCAAAATAAATCACAAAACAAGCAAACACAAACCATCAAATAGCGATACCTACATTTTTGGAATTTTGGTTTCTTGACTGTGCTTGAGGTCATTATTTCTCTCTCCTCCTTATCTTCTTTACCCTCCTGGGTCTTATAATTTCTGAGGCCTTGCCCGAGAATTACTATATGGCTTTTTTTTTTAATACCAAGAGAATTAAAATTGACTTATTTAGAGAATTATAAGCTTATTTTAAAACAACTAGACCCCAGAATAATAATAAAAATCATTCATATCTAAGTATAGTTCCTCCCTGAAGTACTTTAGTTCAATGGCATTGTGGTAGACAGACCCTAGGGTGACCTGCCCCCCACCATAATTCCCATGTAAACCCTTGTTAGGTGTGGAAGAGACCTGTGACTTGCTTCTGAGAAAATGACAACGATGATAAGATATCAATCCCATGATTATGTTATTATGTACACAAACACATACACACCACACACACTGCACACTACACACACACACACACACACACACACACACACACAGACCTATCTTGTTAGCAGATGCATAAGGGAGACTCTCCTGTTGGCCTGAAGAAGCAAGCTGCCATGCTATGAAGTGCCCATGGACAGAGCCACAAGGCAGGTAACTGTGGGTGGCCTCTTGGACCTTAAGGCAGTCTTCAGCCAATAGCCAGTAAGAGTTCCAGGTCTTTGGTCCTACAATCCCAAATAATGATATCTGCCAACAGCCTAACCATGTTTGGAAGCAGACCCTTCCCAGTCAAACCTCTAAATGAGATCATAGCCCAGCCAATATCTTGACTGCAGCCTTGTGAGACCCTGAGCAGAAGACCCAGCTAAGTCACAAGCAGACTCCTGACCCAAGGAAACTGTGGGATAACAAATATATGTATTTTTAAGTTTCTAGGTTTGGGTAATTTGTTACGTAGCACAAAGACTCAATACCGACATTGTGCCATGAAGAAGGGAAGGTGACAGACACCCTGTTGGCCAATTCTCAATTAAAATGATGATTTTACTTAGAGAGGTCACATTCTTCTGAGAACGCTCCAATTGAGGCCTCAATAAAACCAGAAGAATATAAAGAAAAAGATACATAATCATAGTAATAATACAGTAAGAAAGGTTTTCTTGATAAATACCATCGAATTCAAAAGGGATAGAGGCCCCTGGAGGAAAAATGATGTTTTTAAATAGCCGATTAAATGAACGTTTCTCTATTTTTTTAAAAATCGTTAACGGGAGTAGGAATTTGGAGAACTATATAAAAAGTCTCTTGCAAAGCCTCTTAGGGGAAAAATAGCCAAATAGCCTGGAAAGATGAGAAGATATTTACAACGTTATGTTGATGATAACGACAGCATGAGTCAATGCTATGGATTCTGTAAAAGTGCAAAGTGGCCTCTGGGTCTTATACAGTGGTCGATGTAGTGTGAAAGGGTATGGGGAAACAATTTTCCAGAAATCAGTGAAAGCATACATCTGGAAGAACTTTGGGTTCTGGTACATTTAAATTCTGTTTAAAGCTATTTTTTGCACAGATACAAAACATAGGATTGCCTCATGTGTTCTGTGTGCCTATGGTTAATGGGATCAACTCTAGGCACATACTTCAAGTATGCTTTAAGATATGTAAACAAGAGGTTTTTTTCCTTTTTTAATGATCTCCAATATTTTCACAAAATAGGAGGGCTTTATGTCTTTACAGCTATTTCTAGTGTACGAATTCTAACTATATGGAGTCCAGGGCGTGCAAAAATTTATTGAGGGAAAAAAATTAATGAGTCATCCTTATATCACTTATCTTTATGTTATTCATATTGTCCCACATTGTGCAAGCATACATAGCGTCTTGTAAGAAACATACTGTGCACTGAATGAATAAACTAGCAAAAGAAACTCTAAAGAATATTTATGCTATAATTTAATTTTTTTTTTATATATGAAATTTATTGTCAAATTGGTTTCCATACAACACCCAG